TTAGGTAGCAGAGTGACGTCTTATAATAACGTCTTAATGACGTCTCTAGACGCCAATTAGACGTCATTAAGACGTCTTTAGACGTTATTCTGCTACCTGGGTTATGATATAACATCACATTTTAAAATTGTGTATGTACAATTATTATGAGACTCTGACTAGTCATTCTTATAATGTTAATGAAAGAAATAATAAAATTCCAATTTCCAAATTTAAATTTCATTTTGTTTTTAATTATATTCCAACATTTTTTATAAATTCTGACTTTTTTAAATTTTAAACTTGAGATTTTAGGAAATCTTGGAAAATTCTTAACCTCGTTGGAATACTCAAAACGATACTCACGTAAAGAAGAACGACGGGAAACTGTACTGCTAGAAGCTAGAGCTAGAATGTCACGGCCACCTGATCTCTGTTATTGTTTTGGTCGTCGACTGTCGCAGTCGTAGACAGCTGTGTGATGTGAGAAATGTTAGGAATATCGATAAAGAAGAAATAAATAATTGCCATTTCGTAAATGCTTGACTTTATTACAAAGATATAAATTTTATTACAAAACAATTAATAAAAAGTCTTGTCTTCATTACGAACAGAATTGAAATTGAACATATTGTAAATCCAAGTGTGCTATCTCTACACGCACAAACGTCTAAAAATGACACGTTTTACTAGAGCTCGTTTTATTTTGTTGCGTGTTAAAAAAAAGGTAGAATTAAATTAAAAGTTAATTGTAATTAACTGAAATTAAAAGTTAATTTAATACATTCAACCGTGTGTGTTAGATGACGTAATTTAAAACAGCGAGAAATGTGTAAGAGAGAGCTTCAGTTAATAACACACTTGAGATTTGCAGTGCAGTCATACCAGTCATATTAATATTTTACAATTTACATTACCGCATCCACTTATCCTGTTATATCTATAATCGTATAATCCATTATGCTCGACTGATGTAAGACAATAATCGATTCTAATTAGAAAATAGCCATTTAGGATTTCTGGGCCCGTATTCCGTTCCTGCCCACCGACAACTGTCGGTTCGATAAGTGTCGTTGCGCAGGTTTTTCATATCGTGTAAAAGCTGCGCAACGACACCGACAATTGTCGGTAAGCGGATTTTAGCGGAACAGAATACGGCCCCTGGATTATTATAAATATAAGCGGACATTCCGGAGTGTCGGCTATCAGTCTTTTGGAGTTTGTTTCGTGAAGACACGTCGCGATTCGCAGATGTAGTACATAAAATTTTCTTTGCGTTCCTTTTTTCGTTACATTTAATAAAAACGTTAAGTTCAGTTAATTCGTGTGTGTCATTTTGCGCGCGCTACGTTTCCTTCAAACACAGCCGTTAGTTTTTGTATCGGTCGCTTAAATTACGCATAATAACAATTACGGACAAAGATTCCGGCAGATAGCGACATATTGATTCTCATAATATACGCGCTCCGGCCCGAGGATTCTATGCGGTCTTAGACTAACGAATGGATTCTTTTCTGTATAGATATAAACTACCTGTCTATCTAGAATTGTATTTATTCTGTCGGTCTCCTTCTCGAAGTCCTGAAGCGTTTCAGACGTTAAGACGAACGGACAATTTTGCTTCGCTATCAGCTTAATGGACCGCGTCCACGTGTCTTTATGCTCGTGAATACCCAGGTTAAATCCTACAATAAAGTCCGGTTTTACGAATGACGAGCTGTGTACATAGTTATCGTATAACGCATCGTGGTACTTAAAAATCAAACTTATTTTGTTATCCGGCGATGTACAGGGATCACAAACTTCTGGGCTGTATTTATATTCTAATTCCGGCCCTATCATTACAATCGTTACTGACATCATCGTTACTGACATCATCGTTACTGATAATAAACAAGGCAAAACTTCCCATCCGATCAAGGTGAATTCCTCGGCGAAACTGGCACCAACAACATGAATGACTAAATCTTTCTTGCTTTTTGGGACATAGTTTAATAATCGCATAGCAAAAAACAGCGTCAAGGGACGTGTCAGATACTGTGAGTGGTCGGCTGCCAAGACACCGTCCGAGTCATCCCGAATAACTCCATAAATGTTTATAAAGTCGTACATATCCAGAAATTCAATGTCGAGGGAAGTTGTGTCGAGAACGTGTTTCGCGTAAGAAATCATGTCCGGCACCAAAGAATTAGTGCGATTTTCTTTTATAATTAATAAATCTGAACGAAAACATAGTTCGAGGGAATCACAGATGTTTCTGTGCATAATGTCGTCTTTATGTTTTATACAAAAGCAGGCAGCACACTTCTGACAAACCTTCAACGATTGAGCGTCCCGTTCGTGGCAAATCAGGCACTCCCTTGGAAATTTGAACATTTGCATCTCACACATCGTCAGACGACGTTTCAGCACGCGCGACACCAGCAGCATGAACATCTGCTTTATGTCGGTCCATTCCTCCGGCGTTTCTCCGCGAACATTCATGTCGTAGCCTTGCCGGCCTTGTCGCACGTTCTGTATGGCTTTGCACAAAGGTTTGTGCTGCTGCCAGTGTTGCTTCTGATGTTTCTTACTGCAATAGGAGATCATCTTGCAGTTACTGCATCGCTTCAAAGAGACGCCGTCGCCAAACCGTTTGCAAACGTGACACATGGTCGCGTAGAAGAACTTGTCATAGTTGTTATTAATTTGATTTCTCGCTTCTGATTCCATGACTTCTGCTCACACAGTCCAATCTCGTGTTATATCAAAAGTCTCCTTCGGTGTAAGAGGCAAATACCCACAGTGTTTGGATCGAATGTTGTGATTTCGCACAATTTCGCAGGTAACACGTGGGGAGCACGACTATATTGACTTCCCAGGCTTTCGACCTTCCTTCCAATGGTCCGTCTCGAAAATTTCCAAGGATATTGAAATCTATTGTTCACGTTATGCTTTAGGTTTTCAGTACTGTCATTTACATCGCATCACGAAATAAAATTTGTTGACGTTGCTTTTGTAATTAGTACAGCTGTTACCTGTAAACATTGCAATGAGATTAATTGTAATAATTAACACTTAAATTCTTACTGCTTATTTGTAATTAATACTACTTTTGATGTAACATTGCATTTTGAAATTATGTATGTAATTATAGTCATTCTCATAATGTAAATAAAAGAAAGAATCAATAAAGTGCCGATTTCTAAATTAAAATATGTCATCTTGTTCCTATAATTATTTTTGTTCGAGAATCCGCGAGTTAGAGACAGCACGAAGAGATGGACAAGCACACGCACTTAAATTAAAAACTCAAAAAAATTACAGAACAAAGTTTATAATGTAAATAAAGACAATTATATATATATATAAAAGTAATTACAAAGTGTTCCTTTTAAGAAAAATGCCGTGAGCGGTAGCGCGCACAGAAGTTAGCACGGCAAAAGCGGCTAAATCTATCAAGCGATCGAGCGAGTGCGAATTTCTAAGCGAACAGCGGTTGTATGTATGTACGAGCGGTAGTACAAGTACACTGAGCGAGTGAACAACGAAAACAAGAGCTCCTGTTTGTCGCGACTATCCTTTTATAAGATCGGAAAAACGCCCTTTCTTCGCCAATCTCCAATTAAGTTAAAGCATTTAAAACAGTTTTGGAAGCCAGGAGACGTACGCAAATTCGATTCGCCCCTGCGAAGTGAGAAACGCGAATTTCGCTTGTGTGATTGGCGGGAGGCGATCTACGTCATCGCATCGCGCAGGTTTACGGCGAGTTTTGCGTTGAAAGATCGTTGCTAGTGTTTAACAAACAAAGTTTACAAACATGGATTTTTTTTCACGTATAAAAACGATTGTTGCTTGACTTTGCAATAAAGAGAAAGTTAACGAAACTTCTCGAATTGAAATCGGCAGAAAATCCATGTTATAAACGAACGTTATATAGATTCGATTATTATTCTATGGCATTCACATGCCTGCGTTTAAGCAAATTTTAACGCTTCTGATTCGGTGATCAGATAAACGCACAGCGCAATCAACTTATGATTTCTAACATTAACACTTAAATTCTCACTGCTTGTTTGTAATTAATACTACTTTTGATGTAACATTGTATTTTAAAATCATGTATGTAATTATAGTCACTCTCATAATGTAAATGAAAGAAAGAATCAATAAAGTGCCGATTTCCAAATCAAAATATATGCCATCTTGTTCATAATTATATTCTAATATTTCTTATAATATTCTACTTTCAGAATTTCAATCCTATGGTATGAAAAATCACGATTCTTGGAATATATTGAAAAATTCTTGAAATTTCTAATAGTACAATTTCATCTAGACAGCAGGTATGTCTGAAAGGTCCGTATTCATAGTCGGATCTTATTAGAGACTGTCTTATAAGTAATATCTTAAGATGCTAATACGGCTCTGTGATTGGTTCATAAAATCTTAAGATCGTACCTAAGATGGTCTTAAATATAAGATTCGACTATGAATACCGGCCTATGATGTCTTTTAAATTATGCGTGCTGCCTGGGTCTGGTCGAATTCTCTTAATCGATTTTTGAGACTTGTGAGAAAATTCTTGGAAAATAAGAAAATCATTAGAATTTTAGACAGTAGCAGATTGTCAAAATGCATTCTTTAGAGAAAAAATTTTAAATTTTGTTAATCTCAGCACAATATAAGTGTATGTTGATAGATGTTATTAGTAACATTAATAATCTCGTTAAAAAATACATGCTCCTCGAAACGATACTCACGTACAAAAGGGTAGGAAGCCAGGACCACACACTCAATCTCTGCCATTATTGCGATCATCGACTGTCACAGGAAGCTTTTCACACATGTGATATCAAAAAATATCGAAACAGAAACAATTACCATCATAAATGCTTGCTACAAATTTATTACAAAGATATAAATATTATTATAAAAATTATCGAAAAGTTTTGTCTTCATTACAAACAGAACTAAAAGCCATTGTAATAATATTTTACGTTACCGCATCCACTACTGTTATATTTATATTCCATTTATGCCCGACTGATATAAGATAATCGACTCAACAAGTAAATAATGGCTTCTTGGATTATAAATATAATCAGACACTCCGGAGTGTCGGATTTCAGTTTTTTGCAGTTTATTTCGTAATAACGCGTCGCGATTCGCAGTTGTAGTTCATACAGTTATCTCTGCGTCCCTTTCGTTGCATTTCTTAAACGTAAAATTCCATTTAACTCGTATTCTTTCATTTCGCACACGCAACGTTTTTTTCGGCAAAAAACACAGCCTTCAGTTCGTATGGGTAGTTTAAATTACGCGTATCAGTTACGACTTAACAAAGACTTTGGTAGATAATCATATACTGATTATGATAACACACGCGCTCTGACCCAAAGTCTCTATGCGGTTTGCAACTGGCGAATGGGTTCTTTCCGCTACAGTAATAATCTAACTCCTTACCCAGGATTGTGTTCATTTTGTTCATCCCCTTCTCAAGTTCCCGTTGCTTAGAAAACGTTAAGATAAACGGACAATTCTGTTTCGCTAACGCACGTATGGATGGCGCCCATATTTCTTTATTATTATGTTCCTCAATACTTAAGTGAAATCCTACAATCAAGTCCGGTTTTGTGAATGTCGAACTGTCCACATAGTCCTCGTATGACACATCGTGGTACTCAACAAACAAACTTTTGTTCCCCAAAAAAAAGTTATCATCAGTGCGTGACGGATCCAATTTATCTTTTAATTCCGGCCCTATCATTACAATCATTATTGATGTCACGGGCTCCATTAACTGCAGGAAAATTTCCCACGTCCATAAGGTGGTTTCTTCGAGGTAATTTGCACCTACAATATGAATGATTAGAAATGTGCCTTTTAGAACATAGTTTAACAATCCCACAGCATAAAACAGCGTCAAGGGACGCGTCAGATATTCTGAGGAATAGGCTGCCCAGATATTGTACTCCATCTCCGAGTCAGCCTGAATATACACAAAAGCCTTTATAAAGTCTCTCATGTTGTGAACTGCAATAGTCGTGGAGGGACTGTGCAAGACACTATTCGGAAATTTGCAGTATCCTTCTTCTATAGAAAAAAATAATTTTATACGAAGACATAGTTCCAGAGGAGCGCAGATGTCCCAGTGGTCAATGTGGTTTTTGTGAATTTGACAAAAGCTGGCAGCACACTTCTTACAACTCTTCAACGACTTCCATTCGTGGCAAATTAGGCACTCGTTTGGAAAAAGGAACATATCCATCTCACTCATGTTCAGGTCACGTCCTAGCCTGGACGACACTAGCTGCATGAAGGTCAGCTTCTTGTCGGCCCATTCCTCCGTAGTTTGATTGCGATAATCCATGCTGTAGTTTCGCAGCACGTTCCGTATGGCTTTGCACAAAGGTTTGTGCTGCTTCCAGTGCTGCTTCTGATGTTCAGGACCACAATAGGCGATCATCCAGCAGCCATCGCATCTCTTCAATCGGACGCCGTCGCCAAACCGTTTGCAAACGTGACACATGTTCGCGTAG